TGAAGATAGCCAGTTTCCTAACACTATCTACCACATGCTATTTTATTTTTCATTACTCTTCAATCAGTAGGGCTGAGAATACTGGATATCCACATGCACAAAAATCACTTCAAAACGGACCAAAGACCTAAATGTAAGAGCTGAATATTTGATATTGGTGGAGAAAAGCATAGGCAAAACACTTTAAAATAAGTAATAACTTTCTGAGGGGTCCACTAGCACAAGAAACAATTCAAATAATTAACAAATGTGATTAAAAATGAAATTATTGAGCTGGAAATATGTCTTAGCAATTCAAAACACTTGTATTTTCTGCTCTTCCAGAAGACCTGAGGTCAGTGCCCAGCAGCCATGTTAGGCAGCTCACAACCACCTGTAACTCTACCCCCCACACACGCTTTGTGTCTTCTATTTACAAATGAAAAACCTCATTCATGTTATACAACACATCCTACCTGGATGCCAGAGAAATCATATCTCTTTAGAGTGTCAGTGATCTATAGTTCTTACACACGGGTGTGCCAAGGTCAAGGCCCAGTTCCTTTCCTTTGTATGTGGTTTTGGGTCAGAATATGCCCGTGTTTCTTGGAATGGGATTTAATGTCTATAAAGGCAATGTCCCTCTGTTATAGAGCAATTCCTTTTAATCTCCTTTCTTGATACACCCCCACGCACACTTTAAGAAGCTTCTATAGTGGTAGGTTTCCATATGGCTTTTTCTAAAGACATTTAGTCTTACTTATCCCTCCCTATACTCCCTCCCAAAAACGTATTTTAAAATAAAATATCTGATTCAAATCCCAAATATTTCATTTAATATGACATGGTATTGAGAAATTCACTTAATATGCCTATATCTTAGGTTTCTGATATGTAAAATACACATGATGGTGGTACCAACCTCATGCTCATGTTGTGGAGATTAAATAAGGGATTAAATGAAATGTATAAATTTCCTGATGTTATGCTATCAAATGTTAATATGAGGCTTATCCATCCTTGGCCTTATGAGTAGCCATTTATTTATTTTTATTCATTATTTTAATTTTATGTGTATGACTGTATTGTCTGCATGTATGTGAGTTCACCCATGTCGTGCAATGCTGCCGAGATCAGAAGAGGGCTTCAGATTCCCCTGGAACTGGAGTTAAGGACCATTCATAGCTGCCATGTGGGTGCTGGGAATCGAACCTGAGTCCTCTGCAAGAACAGTCAGTGCTCTTAACTGCTGAGCCATCTCTCCAGCCCCTAATTTTATTTAAAAAAATTTTTTATTGAGCTTTTGTACCTTTCCTACAATAGTTCTTAATCAAATTCAGACCCCTTCCCCACATCTATGCCCCTACCCCCTCCACTGGACCTCATGTATTCTGCCATACATGTTAAGTCCTATTCAGTCAAGCATTTGCACCCAGATGTCCTTCAGTGAAAATTCATCCACTGGGGTCTACTTAGCTTAACTAGAAGTTGTTGATAAGGCTTATTCTCCTTCACCCAGTAGTACTCAGCCTCCAATAGTTCCCATTCTAGAACCAGCCCACCACCTATTGTTCTTGCTCCACTCTGGGCCCTTGTCTGATTGAGTTGGCATGGATCCTGTGTTGATGCCACAAATTCACATGTGCAAGCTTTCCAGTGGCTTGAAAGCCTCTGCTTCCCTATGTTCATGTTGTAAGCACTGGATCTTACAATCTTTCTGCCCCCTCTTCTGCGATGGTCCCTGAGTCATGGGTGGGTGAGGTTTAGTATAGGAGTTCTGTCCAGGGACATGCATTATTTAGTCTCCTATTCTTTAAAACTTGACCAGTTGTGGCCTTCTGTGTGCAGCATCACACTCTGTTGTATAAGGAAGCATCACTGGTGAGAGTTCAGGGATGCACTAGTTTTCTCTCTACCCTTCATTCTGCTATGTACCATGAGCCTTAAGTGTAGAGCTTCAACTGTAGATGTGTCACCTAGGACTAGGCATCTCTCAGATATATGTTCTAAGTGTCTGACCATTTGTGGGATTCTGCAGTAGCCTCCATCTGTTGCAAAAAGAAGCTTCTTTGATGAGTGGTGTACGATATGCTTGTCTATAAATATAGATTCATATTTAGCATATGGTAAGAAATTTCATTTGTCTAGAGATATGACAGGGATAGGGTTTCCTCTAGGATCTGTGTCCTCTCCAGCCATGTGTATTTGGCTGAGTTTACAAGGCCACCCATGAGTTTATTCCCATTGAGAGGACTTTAAGTCCAATTAGGCAGCTATTGATTACCCCCCAGATAACAGTGCCACTACTGCACCAATAAAGGTAGTTTGCTGTGCCAATCTTTATGGTTATTAGGCTTTAGGGCTGGGTTGATTGGTTTTCTCCCTTTACAGTTTGCATATTATCATCTAGCATTATGAGGGCTAAACTTCCATTTTATCTCAGTCAGATTGGGTAAGATCAAGAGAATGGAAGACACCAAATGCTGGTGAGGATGTTGAGAAAGGGGAAAGTTCATTCATTGATGGTAGGAATGAAAAGTCATGCAGACACTATGGAAAGCAGTGTGAAGAACTCTGAACAAAACTAAAAATGAATCTACTCTGATTTAGTTGTCATATACCCAAAGGACTCATCCTACTGTAGAGATACCTGTACTTCTATGTTTGTTGCTGCCTCTTCACAATAGCTAAGAAATGGAAACAACCTAAATATTGCTCAACTGATGAATGGATAATGAAAATGTGGTACACTTACACAATGGTGTTCTACTCAGCAGTAAAAAAAAAAGATCAAATTGTGAAATCTGCAGGTAAATGGAGAGTGCTATACTAAGCGAAGTAACACAAATGTAGAAAAGCAAGTGATATATGTTCTTCCTCATTTGTGGATTGTAGCACCAACCCCTTATATGTGAGTATATAAATTCTGATGTAACACCAGGAGTCTGGAGAATGGGAAGGATATACCAAGGTAAAGGAAAAGAAAGAGCCAAAAGAGGGGGATATAGGGAACAGATATTACTAATGGGGAGATGGGGAAAGTGGAAGTGTTTGGCTGGGAGGGGGAGAGAGGGATATCCAGGGGGCCATGGTGTGGGGGAGGAGAGAACTCAGGAGGGGGGATGGTGGGAGGTAGGTGTTATTGGGGGGAGGGGAGGGATAATGGGGCTGGGACTGGGAAGGGAAGAGGGAGGTTGACTGGGAGGAAGAAAGCATAGAGATGAATGGATCTTGGGGGGCTAGGGAACCCAGAGGGAAATATGATGCCCCCCCAAACCCCCTAAGAAATGCACATACAGTGTCTGAACATTAGTGCATGTGTATACCTGGAGCCTGTATGGCAAGGAGCACAGTGCCAGACAGGAGAGACCTCCCTTTGAGTGGTTGATGAGAGTGCTCCAAGAGACTCCCAAATAACACAGGCTATTGCCAGAGCTCTTGGTTATCTCCCAGAACTAGAAGATAAGACCCTACTGCTGAAGTCAGGATATACTCTGGATATAGGACTTGGAACAATGGAGGGGGAAAAGAACTGACCTGGAAGCTTTCTACCTGAAGTTTAGTCCTCTTAAGGCTACAGTAGCCATTTATTTAAATAATAGGGTAAATGTTTTAAGATTCCCCAACTCTTCAAAATCTTTTGCTAAATGCTACAAAATATACCTTCACTTGAGACATTCATTATATCAAATGAATCAATCAAAATCACAAAAGCCTTTTCTAGTCTGAATATCTTAAATAAGTATTTCTGACAATTATATTTTAAGGGTTTTTAATAATTGTAGCAGACACCCAGACACAAAGATGCACTTAACACCTTCGGTACTTTTCTTATTGACTCAGGACTTCGCGGTAGAACTTGTACATTGTGGGAAGAGTAACCTACTGCATTAATTACTTTTCTCATTGATGTAAAAAAAAAAAAAAAAAGACAAGAACACCTTAAGGAAGGAACGGATTATTTTGGCTCGCAGTTCCAGGGTAGAGACCATCATAGCATGGAGGTCACAGAAGCAGGTGTGAGGTGGCTCATCACATTGCACCCACAATCAGGAAGCAGACAGGTGAATGCTGATGCTCAGCTCACTTTGGACTTTTTATTTTGAAAAGATGTTGACAAAGGTCTCATGCAGTGCAGACTGGTCTCAAACTCACTATGTAGCCAAGGATGACCTTGAACTGTTGATCTTCCTGCCTCCACCTCCCAGGTGTTGGGATTACAAGCTTGTACCACGACCCCTGGCTTAGTTTCTAAGCGTCTTATTAAGTTTTCAAACACGAGATGTAAAGAGAATAGTCTAATGAATACTCATGTGCCTCTTCCCCTGATTCTATAATTACCTATTTTACTATATTTGTTTAATTTCTCTTTTCCTCGTGTTTTCTGCCATAGAAGTTTAGAGTAAACCCCGTCTTCAAACTTGTTTATTCTTAAAGTTCCACGTTTTATTACAATTAAATTTTTGACCTGTCATACAAATTTTGAGTTTTGAAAATATGTTGCTTCTTTTATGTTATACAATAATTTGTGGCTTTTTTAAAATTAGCTAGCACACATTGAACTTAATTATCTTATGCTATTCTAAACTTACCCTTTGACCCGAGACACATTTTCTACTTTAGCCTTTAAACATTCTTTAATGAACTACTGCTATGGTTTGGACGTAAAGTGTTTGCCCCCTCCCCAGGATCATGTGTTTGAACCTTTGATCCCTAGATGATAATGCTGTTGAACTTTTGGGCTAGGGAATGACCTAGCTAACAGAAGTGGGTTTCTGGGGAAGGAGTAGGATATCTACTTCTGGTTCTGGCCCAAGAACTCTGATTCCTGATTCTCCAAGATGTCACAAGTCACACTTCTGTCACAGATAGCTGCTCCAGCTGCTGTGCCTTTCCTGCCTTGATGGATTGTATCCTTGAACTATGAGCCAAAATAACCTCTTGTCTCGTAGACTGCTTCCATATACTCCTCTAAGTACATTTTTAAATAGTTCTTTAGACTATTTTCTTTTCTTTTCTAGGAAGAACTGGAACTATGGTCTGTGCCTGCCTTATTGCTAGTGAAATCGTTTTAAGTGCAAAGGTATGAAAAATGTCTTTGTCTTATGTGGATTGAACTTGCTCTTCTGAAACATCAGTGGTACAGTGTTATGATGATTATTTGAGTCATGATTCATAAGTTAAATTGACGAGGCTTTATTGGTTTGTTTTTTCAAAAAGTCTGTGCTTAGTACTTCCTTATTTCATGTGCAACTAGTAACTGACCTAACTATCTCCTACTGTGGGCCAGGACCAGGCCGAGGTCAGAAATAAAATTTAAGGGAATGCAAAATATCTCAACAATTAAGATCATTCCATTTTAATGCAATATTTAAAAAATAAAAATTAAAGGGCTGCAGAAATGGTTCAGTAGTTATGAGCATCTGTTGCTCTTTCGGAGGATCCAGATTCAGTTCCCAGCACCCACATGGCAGCTAACAACCATCTGTAACTCCAGTTCCAGGGGAATCTGATGCCCTCTTCTGGCCTCCACAGGCACTGCACTCATGTGGTGCACTTACATACATACAGGCAAAACAGTTATACACATAAAATAAAAGTAAATTAGAAAATAAGATTTAAGTCCCAATCTCCACACCACCACCAAGACCACATGCAAGGATCTCCCAAAATCCCAAACCACAGGTAGATATGCAGCCCCAGAGCCCCACACTGAGCCCAGACATTGACTGCTCCCTCTGTGCCACTGCTGCCAGAGATCATGTGCATGGATCCCCATGAACCTGAACTCCAAACCCCAGAGCTTTACCCCAAGTCTAAGCAGTGACTCCTCCCCCAGTACCACTGCTGAGACCACCTGTGTGGTATCCTGCAATCCTTAACTCCAGATGGGTACCTCCAGAGCCTGTCATTCGGCTGAATAGCAACTCGCAGAGCCTGTTTCCCCCCGCCCAATATTAACTACCTCACCCATCATGATGCCCAGGGACCATGACACATCCTGGGACCTGGACCTCCAGTCTGACCTCTACCTAAGGTCAGTATGATGTCATTCCCCTGGCCCCTAGGGAGCACTGCTCACTCCCACTCTAACCCCAACCCCTGCCACCCAAGGACCACAGGTAGAACCATGTGAGCCTTCCAAGATTCTGACTGTGAGACTCTTCTAACTCCACAGAAGATTTTACTTCTGGTCTCAGAAGTGCACGTCTTCAGGTTTTCAAGGAACACATCTAATACCCCATTCACACATCAACACAGATTAACCCCAAGATCAAATGCCAAGCATCATTCAGCTGGTCCACAACCTGACAAGCTGAGATATAACAACAAAGATCCAAATACATAGGCAACAAAGAGGGGATCAGATATCCACACCAAGAAACATCACCAATGATGTAACTCCAGATTCCTAGGTCTTATCACAAATCATGAACAACATGAATAGGCAAGACAGTATGCCTCCTCCATAAATTAGTACATCCATTACAATGTCCCTTGAGCAATTTAGTTGATGCACAGAAAAACATTTCAGATAATGATTATAAGTATGTGTGCTCCAGGAACTCTAAAAGAACATGCATAATTTCAGAATGAAGACTTTTAAAACACAGGCAAACAGCTCAATGAAATAAAGAAAACATCTCAAGGCATGAAAGTAGAATTTAATAAGGAAATAGAATCTCTGAAGAAAAGCCAAACTGAAATAAAACTTCAAATGAGACAGTCAATGAAATAAAAGTTCAATGGAAAGCCTTACCAATAGAATGGATGAAGTGGAAGAGAGATTATCAAGTCTTGAAGACAAGGTAGGGAAATTGCATCATTCAGTTGAAGAAAGTGTTAAATCAAAAAACAAAAAAACTAGGAATGGAATGTGCAGGAAATCTGGGACACCATGAAAAGACAAAACCTATGAATCATAATGGCATAAAAGAATGAGTAGAGAAACCCAGGTCCAAGAGGAAAATTTATAGAACTAAATGCCTAGATTAAAAAATTAGAGACATCTCATATTAATAACCTAATGATACACCTGAAGGGCTTAGATGAATAAGAACAGACACAAAAATAGATGAGAAGAAACAAACAAAATCAGGGCATAAATTAACTGAATAGAAATTACAAAGACTCAATGAAACTAAGAGTTGGTTCTTTGAAAATGTTAACAAAATTATCAAAGCTTTAGCCAGCTTAACAAAAAGAAAGAGGATGCAAATTAATAAAATCAGAGATTAAAAGGGAATTATAATAGACACTGAGGAAATTCCGAAAACCATAAAGATATACTTTTAAAAAATATACATTTTACTGAACTGGACGACCTAAAAGAAATGGATGGATTTCTAAATATATATGGCCTACCAAACTTAAATCAAGATGGCATTAAAAAATTTAAACAGACCCATAATAACCAATGAGATACATGCAGTAATAAAAATCTTCAAACTGACCCAGTTGTACCACTCTTGGGCATATACCCAAGACCAGGGTACTACTAGTCCTTCAAAGAATAATTAACAGCAATATGTCTTAAATTCTATAAAATAGAAAAGAAAGGAACTTTCCCGAATTCTTTTTTTATTTGTTTTTATTGAATTTTTGTGCATTTCATAAGAATATCTCAAACAATCTTAATTATCTTTATACCTTTTCCTCACCAACACCCTCCTATAGTCCCCCATGTAACCCATATACTCTGTCATCCATGTTAAGGCCCACTGTGTGAAGACAATGTCCCCAGACGTTTCCCAGGGCAAATCCATCCACTGAGGTCTAGTCAGACTATCCAGAGTCTCTTGTTTTAGGAAGATCAGCTCTTCCTCACCTAGCACTAATCAGTTGCCAATGCATCTTCAGCTAAAATTAGGGTCTGCTGTTCATTTTCTCAGTTCTATGATGGGTTTTTGTCTGCCTGAGTTTGCATGGGACTTGTGTGTGCTGACACTGTAGCCATAGAATCATATGAGCAGGGTCCCAGGAGCTTGTAGAGAAGATAGCATCTTCACCAAATGCTGGTCAAACTGAATATCTACATGTGGAAGAATGAAATTAGAATCCTATCTCTCACCCTGTACAAATCTCAACTCCAAATGGATCAAGGACCTCAACATAAGACCTGATACCCTGAATCTGATAGAGGAGGAAGTAGGAATACAGTGGAATTTGTAGGCACAGGAAAGGACTTTTTGAACAGAACCTTGATAGTGCAGGCATTAAGATCAACAGCTGATGACTGGGACTGCATGAAATTAAATGGCTGTATAGCAGAAGACACCATAATTCAAGTGAAGAGGCATCCTACAAAATGGGAAAATCTTTACCAGCTATACATCTAACAGAAACTTAGTATCTAGAGTACACAAAGAACTCAAAAAAACTAAATATTAAAAAACCAGACAAACCAATTGAAAAATGAGTCATGGAACTAAAAAGATTTCTCAAGAGATTAAAAATAAATGGCCAAGAAATACTTAGAAATGTTCAGCACCCTTAGTCATCAGGAAAATGCGAATTAAAACTACTTTGAATTTCATCTTACTTCAGTCAGAATGGCTAAGACTCACCAAACAAAATATGACAAATGCTGGTGAAGACATGGGAAAAGGGAACACTTACTCACTTCCGGTGGGAATGCAAACTGGTGTATCCACTATGGAAACCAGTGTGGAGGTTCCTCAAAAATCTAGAAATAGATCTACAACATGACCCAGCTATACCACTCTTGGGTGTATACCCAAAGAACTCTATGCTACAGAGATACCTGTTCATCCATATTCATTGCATCTATACTCACAATAGCCAGGAAATGGAGACAACCTAAATGTCATTAACTAAGGAATGAATAGTTAAAATATGGCACAATAGCACAATGGAATATTATTCATCTGTTAAAAATTAAATTATGAAATTCACAGGTAAATGAATGGAACTATAAACAATCATCCTAAGTGAGGTAACCCAGACCCAGAAAGAAAATGCTGACTTCTCTCTCATATGTGCATGCTAGCTCTAAATCTTTAGATATGTATGTTTCTATTGAAAAATCCGAAAAGGTCAGGAAACAAGTTAGGGCCATGGGGGAAGAATTTATGGACAGGAATATAAAATGCAGAGATGTAAGTGGGAAAGAAGAATAGAACAGGAAGGGTTAATGGGGTGAGGGTAAGAGGGCATGATAGAGGAGGACTATGACGACAGCAATAACACTGGATGCCTTTTGAAAAAGTCATATGAAAACCTACTACTTAGAAGCATCCTAAAAAAGATACATATAGAAAAAGAATTTAAATGGACTTGCCCTATTACAGGTAGACAGTGCCCCTACCAGGTGCCACAAGCTAGCAAATAACACACAATGCCAAGAATAGGTTCCTTTTGGGGGGGTGTTGACCAAAGGGGTCCACAGTCCATCAAATAATACTTGCTATTTTCATGAATCTTGCTTACTCTCCAGAACAACACAGCAAGGCCCTGTTGCTGAATATATTACATACATGAGTTGTAGACGTGGGAAAATCATGTTGTACTGACCTCAGAACTTCATCTCCACAGACTGACTTTCATAGTGATGGAAGGTGCTGTGCATGCTTCCTACAGAGAAAAGTAATCATCAACCTAATTCAGCTGTGAACCCTGTGAACTACAATAGTGACTCACCTGGCTAGATATAATCAATGGTGCAGTAGTGGCACAAATATTATGGGAGTAACCAAACACTTTCTGATTGACTTTAAGGCCCACTTCAGAAGATAGGACCCATACCTGGAATCTACTGTTACTAGTACCAAGAACTTGTAGTTAGGTCACAGGCTGTAGCAGAAAATCCACTATTATTCAGCTAAATGAACATAACTAACTTCTCATGATGTATTGTTAGACCCATAGATTAGTGCATTTCTCGGTTCTCATCAGAGATGCTGCTTTTTGCAGCAGATGACGATTAACACAGAGACCTCCCCACCCCCCAACTGGTCATCATGCAGAAAACAAAGGACTGGGGAGTATTCTACCCCTAAGTGGGACAGGGATATTATACCTCCCCTCCCCTTGACTCCGCAAGGCTCATTGTGGAAGAGAAAGCAGAAAGAGTGTAAGAGCCAGAGATAGTAGATAAATAAAACAAAACAGTGTTTTCCAAACACAACAGGGCATTTGCACATATGACCAACAGTGATTGTGTCAGTATACATAAGACCTATGCAAACCCAAGCCAGAAAAAACCCCAGCATGGAGGGAAGAAGTGGAGAGGAAGCCCCAGCCCTACCTGAGGAAGCGTTGGCAAGCGATAGCTGCTGGGAGAGGGAGAGTCAGTTTTCTAAAAGGGTGTGATGCCTGGTAGATTGACCACGCTCCAGGGGATGGATGCACACCCAAGAGTATTTGGGAACACAAATTGGACTCTATAGGCCTTTAAGGTAGGGAAGTGGGTATGGATCTGAGAAGAGATGTGGGGAGAAGGTGAATATGATCAAAATACATCGCATGAAATTCTCAAAGAGTAAAAATATTATTCAAAAGCCAGGCATGGTGGCAACACACCTTTAATCCCAGCACTCAGGAGGCACAGGCAGGTGAATTTCTGTGAGATCAAGGTCAATGTGGTCTACATAGTGAGTTCTAGGCCAGCTGTTATTACAAGGAGACCCTGCCTCAAAAAGATAAAATACATATTATTTTAAAAATAAATAAAAATTAATTTAAAAAATCATGATCCACACAATGTCAACATTTTCAAAAAGGCAGTATATGATCAATGCAGGGTTAAGGTTAGATAAGTAAAACCAAGTTAGGCAAATGTAAAACGCCTCAGCCAAGTGTTTAGGGGCCTGCCCTTCATCCAGCACTCCATACGGAAGCAGAAAGATGGTAAATTCCTTGGCTACAGCAAAAGAAAGGAAGAGAAGAGAAATAACCCCCAGTAATGAAAATGCTCCCCTTTTCCTTACCATCAAGCACCTCACTTTTCCTTTTTCACAAGAACAACACCAAGATTAATCAGAAAAGTGCCCCCAAGGGCTTAACCATCTTTAGAATTCATAAATCAACAAAAGTTATGACTTTCCAATTCAAAACGCCCTGTATATTAACTCTGTAAAGTCAATATTTGGGAGACAGGTGACCTCTGGAAATTTATGAG